AAATCGGATCACCTGCTTGAATATGTTTGAAGCGTTCTCGCTCCAGCTTCCTTGCGAGTTGTGATTATCAACGGTTTGGATCAGGGAGGAATCATGAGGTTTCCCTGTACAAACCCCGAACTTCCCAGCAAGTCTTCTGTATATCCAGACACCTCCATCAATTAACCCAACCTTCACCAACAGGCAACCAAACCAGCTGAATTTGAACAAGTTTGCCACCTCAAATGGATCTTCCCCATCCATCGGATCTTCCCCTCCTCCAAGATCTCCGCGTCGCTCTGCCGGGACTTCATCTTCAGGGCGCGGCGGTACACGCCTCTGGGACGCTGGCCCTCGCGCCAGTGCAGCACCTGGAGGAAGCATCCCAGGTCAGTTGGTCAGTTGGGTCGCGAGAGCCAAAAAGAAAAGCGGTGGGCGAGGGAAACTGCGATGGGGTTAGGCCGAACAGGCGGCTGTCTCGTTGCTAGCCAAAAAAAAGGCAATGGTAGGTCTTGTACATGGCTCATCCTGGTGGCCCATGTGTCAAAACCAGGGCAGCAGGGCCAGCACGAAACTAACCATTCAAAGTGGTCGGAATGCGCCACCGAGACGGGATTGACGTATGGAAAGAGATTGCTCGCTTTGGCAACCTCTCTGAGAGCCGAACTCTTCCCTTCCTCCCCCGTCTGCGCCCAAAACTGAGTACCCTTTTGCTGGTTTCCTGTAAAGACCCCCAAAAAGGCTGCGGAGGCTCCCAAAGAAAAGCAAGGGAGAGGGGCAACGCTCACGTTGAATAAATATGCCGTTGGGCCAGCCGACCATTCTTCCAGGAGTGTGTCACGCGAACCGGATCTCTGCCATGGGCGGTGCTTTTCTACCTCAGCTTTTGCCCCGCCAAAACCGACAGGTTGATTCTGGAAAACATTTGGGTATGGGTCAACATTAAACCAGGGGACCGCGGGGGCTTTAGTCGTCCTTGTTTTCATAGGGCAATCCATTTTGGGTACAGAGTTTTGACCCACAGCCATTTCGCGAAGCCGAACGTTTCAGAAGGGGTCCCAGGCTTTCGCGGCACGTCCCATGCCCCAGGTTTTCGCCTCGACCAGGTGCAGGTCGAAGCGATCGAAGTCGCCCGTCTTGCCGTGCAGCGGCACCGAGATGGGCGGTAGCTTGCCGTTGATGGGCTTGAAAGTCATCTGGTTCCTTGGCAGGCGAAAAGACTCAGCTTCCCTCTAATTGGTGGTTTGGAGTGGTGGGTTGGTGCTTAAGGAGCAAACCACCAATTAGAGGGAACCTGAAAGCAAGAGGTCGGAAGACAACATCTCTAGAGACTTGAAAGTTGTCCCTTCCAAAGGATCAAAAAGGGGGTCGAACCTATGCCAATCGGACTCACAAATCATGATGTGAAGAGACCCAATGGAGTAATCAAACCACTTTGTAGCAATTGGTTTGTAGGGTACATTCTCCGTTTGTTCGGAGAAGTGGCCACCCTTGCAAACAGGGCTGGGGATTGCCTGCAACCCTGCAGTGGGAACCATGCCCTCACTTCCCACGTCACGCAAAAGGGAAGGAGAAATCAAAACACCCAAAGACCCCTCAAAACAAGAGGCTCGCAAAAAGGTGGGCCAGAGTCCCCCCTCCCAACCATAAAGACATCATTGCAAGGATCGGTTGGTGGGACGTTTCCCATTTCTTGAGAACCAGCAAGCCCGTTTCGGGCCCCCTGGAGCCTGACTGGCAAAGCCACAGGTCACGTCTTGCCAACCATCAATACGGACAAAACCAAGGGGGAGCTATGGTGGCTGCTTAACAACTTGCAGCTGAGGGAACACGGGGAACCCTGCAATCTTGCCGCAAATAAGGGTGGTGTGGTTGCAAGAACCAGAATCCACCCCATGCCATGAGCCCAGGCTCTTGTTGCGCACCATCTTGGTCCTGAAGCAGGCGGAAAGCGGGGGCATATGTTTGACACCCCGGAAGAATGTTCGACCTGCAAAAGAAGCTGGGTTGAACACAAAGAACAAAGGGCCAGTTCTCAACACGACCGCTTTTTACCACAAGGGATGCACGGATGCGCGGATGTGCGGCCTGGCCCCTGACTTGTCCTTGTTAAAGCAGATGGTACCCTCCCCCATTCAAACAGCGGTAAACAAGATTGGGCACACATGGGCACACCTGCACAAAGAATGCAGCTGAATTGGGTGAGGTGATTCGAGTCAGGCAAGTTACTGGGCACCACTGCTGCCGCTAGTCCGTCGTTTGACCCTCCTGCTACCACCCCCTTACTTCCTCTAGTCTGGGACTTCAAGGAGCAAATATTATCCATCTTAAGAATCATCCTTGGCTCTCACTCAAACTTCGATCACAAGCTGATTTTCAGAAATCACCCCAAGAAGAACATATAGGCCCTGGACTTGCCGACGGTTGCAAGTCTACCTTTCCGAAATGGGCAATCCCTCTGTGCAACGTTCAAGCAAATGTAGCTTAGCGAAGAACAAGAGCAAGAGCGACTCATATCCCACAACTGTTGGTCAAAGCATGCTAAAAAGCCATTTCCCGACAAGAGAGCTGACTCCTGCAGCACACGAAGAGCCGCTGTCGAGAGGTCCCACTGGCATGCAGCACTCGTCCATACAGCTCGGTCCTCACAGAGCCGCAACACGTCAACCGAAGAATCGGCGGAGGTGGCGATTCTCTGCGTCTCAGCCAACAAAACAAAACTGTTGCATTGCAAATGCGCATCTTCTAGCTAGCCGGACCCCAACATCTTCAAGAGTCAAAGCAGCGAAAGCGACATTCCGATCGCAGCTCCCTTGTAGCCGACGGCACAAAATGGGGAGTAGATGCAAAATTGAAGGTATGTGATCATAGCCACCGAAGCCGGAAATGCATTGCATAAAACGCACAGATTGGTCACTAAGCTAATCCAACGTACACTACAGTGAATCTTCTGAGTCCGCAACCCTCCGGCAATTCATGCGTTGAGCCCTACATAGTCGGTGCTTCAAGTTGGTTTGGTCTGGAGGTTGAAGGAGCGCCTTCTCATTCGATGTCAACAATCAACCGGTCGGGGTCCCAGTTCACACGCCCTTGCAATTGTTACCAGCAATTCGGTTTGTTGCTGTTAGATTCGCAGTTGTCTAGCATGAGATGTTAGCATTATCACAATTGCAACTATAACCACTATCACGGTTCATTTAGTATGTGGATTCATTCTGCGAGATCATTGTTGTCCTTGTCCTCGTAGTTCGACATGTCTTTTTAGGTGGCTTACTCCTTTTCTCCCCATCTACCGTACGTTATCATTGTGTTCTACTCCTTTGCCAGTTCCCGTTCCTTTGCATTGCGCCAATCCTTCCCTACGCTCGCTGCGGTCTCCTCGCAAGCTGCCCCGCTGTCATTGGCCCCGGCGCTCGGCGGGCGTGGCCGTCCAGGGGGAAGAACTTGCCCTAGTCAAACATCTCAAAGCCATGAGAGGACCCCTGAGGGTCCCTTGTAGAGAAAAGAATCATCCAGCCACACCCCCCCCCCCCCCGTCAGTTTCCATGTTCATGGATGGGTTGTTGGGGATGGTTGAAACACTAACTGTTTGTTTGGTCCATATCCCGTTTTACACATCAAGATCAAGTTGGATGTCTCTTGAATTGAAGTTGGTACCTGTTTGGATGGGTTGGTTCTTGGCAAAAAGAACCACCAAGTTTGAGCTCTTCCGGTTTTTCCATCTGGAGTCAAACCCATGTGTCATAAGCACATCTGGTATCACAGGAGTCTACCCAAGACTAAGGCAAATAATCAACATAAAGGTGGACATCCAGGGTCCTGTCCCCTGCCCACCTTAATCTACCCATCCAAGTCATAGGGATGACCAAGACATGCCAAGGCCGCACAGAGTCAGTGAAACAAAGTACAAACACATTCAGGACCAACCTCGATGCAGCAGGGAGTGCAAAACCTGCCCTGCTGCGGCAACCGAGCAAAGCTTCGCTAGGCGAAATCGGCAAGGGCTGGAGAAGATTAACGACTCATGTGCTTTGTGCAACCCCCAGATGTTGAGCCAAAATGCGTCTGCTTTGACAAGGATTCCAGAGGAAAACAGCCATGCCAGACTTACAAGAGCTACCATCTACACGCTCGACTGGCGTCAACGAACCCCCCCCTGTTGGTTGTCTCAAACAGCACTGTTGAGCCGATTTGAAACTCTGTTGCAGGTGGATGATGTGCAAAACGCAATCTTGGGAACGCTGTCTCGTTGTTGCGCAAATGAAGCGACTCGGATGGATCTGCAGCTTCTCGGACATGTGTGTGTGTGTGTGTCCCACTCAGCACCAAGTCAGGATGATAGCCAGCAGAAACGGCCAAAGCATTGGGCCCTGTGTCCCGGTCTTGAAACGGACCCGTTGAAACAAGAGGTGTTCGAACATATTCGAGTCTTTTCTAACACATGTTTTGTAGGATGCTACACACATGATAGGATACAGACATGATTGTCCTTTGGTGCTGGCTGGAACCCTTTCATCAGATCCCATTCTCAACCGGTCCCCGAAACCCTCGGCCCAGCTGGAGCTTGAGGGTCCGGGCCATCAAGAGCCGCAGGTAGACCTGGTCCTGGTCGAAGGCCGCGGCCCTGCAGCTGCCGATGACCCGCACCCGGCGCCCCAGCAAGAGCCTCCGGGCGCATGCTGGGTCCGGACAGCTGCAGGAACCTCTTCTTGGAGGCCAAATGGGTTCCAAATAAATAGCTCCAAAGTTTGAAGTGTTTATTTCTTTTGGGGCCCGCTACCAAAGGTTGCAAAGTGTGGTCTTCAACAACTCAGGGTTTGAAAGGAAAACTGAAAAGTCAAGCACTGCGTTTGGGTTTGTCCATCTTTAAGTGTGTCATGTTGCTCCTGGGGACTCCTAGGTTGTGCAGAGCGGAAGTCCTACTGCTCGCGTCACGGCTGGAGGCAGTGCCGCTTGCAGCTTCCCGGGTGTCAGGTCTGGAACAACTTCAAGGTAGAGACAAGCCCTGAGAAGGAGAAGAGGAAAACGGCTGTGCCAGAAGCCTAAAACCCATTGGTAAGAAAAAGCTAAATCGGTCTTGATTGCGCTTGAGGGATTCAAGTCAAAGACCCGTATCAGAGAAGCCTTGGTCATGAATATACCCATAACATAAGATAACTCATATAGGTGTATCTTCAAGAGAAATGGACCCCCGAAAAAGGCAGTTGTCCCTTCGGGTCCCCTTTAAGCCCCGAACAAGAATAAGACACGTAGCTTGTCAGCAAGCGATACTTGGACTGATCCCAACATCAAACTGAACAAGGACACCTCAACTGGAGTTTGGGCACCTGGCGACGCAGCTACGGATTTCAAGGTGGTACAGGCCGGGCGTCCATGAAAGTGGTGCGGGTTAAGCGCTGCACGTCGCCCGTGCGGCTTGCTTAACGTGGGTTGGTCACAACATGACTTGCTAAAGGCACAGCATGCAGCTCCTCAACTGGCCAGACTCTGAAGTTGCTGGGACAAGAGCGGACAAAGCGCGTATACACCTGCCAAGGCAAACTTGGGGAAGTCCCCAAATACTCACCGGATTCGGCTTACAGTGGAGTTTTGTGCTACTCGAGCCATTTTTCGGGTGTTCAAGTCAGCGTCCTTGCAACATCCCGTCGCCTCGGCCCACGCTCCACCAGCACCTCCCCACTGTTGCTGTGCTGCTTGTCACCGGACACGCACCTGCACACGTTGGCGCTCTCAAATGTATGGACCGATTTTGGAGCGAGCAACACCACATGTCGCCAGGGTCCCGAAAAAGGCCTCCGCTGGTGCGTGTGTTTTTGTTGGTTTCTCTTTAAACCAACCCCGAACCAGGTGCCCTCAAAAAAGGACACGGCCAAATGAGTCCCCGCAATCCAAACCCGGCGACTCAACGGAGTCCACCCAACCCCGCCGAAGTGGTTTGAGTGACTTGCTATATCTTTTTTGGAGAAAGGATGGAGATGTGTTTGTGTGACGGTATCCTTTTGGACTGTTTGGGGAAACCACAAATTTCGGAGAGCTCCCAGTGATCTCCAAATACCCTAAACCCCTAGTTTAAAGATTAGACAGGGTGGTCGCGCTTATTTATGGATATGTTTGTCGCAGCACAAATTTCAACCAACGGGGCTTGAGATACAAGAGAGTTGAACTTTACTTGGGGAGCCTTTGGTGGACGTGTTCCAACCATTCGCCAGGTAGCATCACAGGGTGCACTTTTTGCAGATTCCACCAAAGCAAACATGACCGGCTCCCCGATTGCCTCGGCTTTGCTATGGAGGCAATTTATTCCGAAAATTTAGCAGCGCAAAGCTTCCTGCATTTCGAACCCGAAAACAACACCACACCAAAGAAAAGCTCACTTCAAATAGGCTTTTCTCAAAGGTGTCGTTCAAAACCGCCAAACAAGGTCAGACAACAAACATCGCCCGTCAAGCATGTGGAGCAAATAGGCATCCCTCAAACTAGGGTGAAACTTGCTGACGTGCTCAAGTGGGTCCCCCCAAAAAAAGTGTCAAGCCCAATTATGTCAAGCCCAATCCAATCCAACCCAATGCAATACAAGCTAGCCTAATCCACCCCTCCAACATCGATAGACCAGGAGTACATCGTAATCATAATCCCATCATAATCCCCCAAAACATGCCAACACGCTCGTTCATTTCAAAAAAGAGAACTCCGCTCCCCGTCTTTGCCCGTCAACCCGGCTGCCGCCTAAACGTTCCGAAGACCAGCACCCCGGTGATCTCCCGAAACTCCTCACAGCGCTGCACTTATGCAAAGACCAACGCAAAGGGGCCGTGGAAATTCGGATTCCCCGGTACACGGAAACACTCCGCAAACAGCACACCTGTGAAGGGTAACCTCGGGATCTAGTTAGGCCTGATGTGGGTATGAACGTCCATGGGTGGACGCTGAGGGTGAACAACATTTACATGGGGGGTTACATTCACCAATTTGGATCGCACCGATATGGGTGTCTTTCACCGATATGGGTGTCTTTTGGGGGCAAACCAAAAGATCACGGGAACACGTAGACATGCAGAAGGGCATTTCCTATGACACCTGACATGAGTATGCTTAATGCCTATGTATCAACTATCTCTTATCAGGCGATGTGTATATATATATAGAGATTCCTGGCCTACATACTTTGCAGCCACTAGGATACACCCGCAGGGGGTACCTAGCAACAGCCCTTGGCAAACAACAGTAGTTTAACGATCTGGGTCTGTCTCAAAATGGAAGAGCCCCAACAAAATGCGTGGCTTCCCTGGGTGTCCCTTGAAACAAACAACCCGGCCATGTGGATCGATGTCCCAGGCCCCTCAGTAGGAAGCCCTACTCCGAAGGTCAAATGAGAATGTCACAACAGTCTGTGGCTTAAACATAGATGTGGCTATGAGTTTCACCGGGATAAACCCTCAACGAGGTTTGGTGAACATAGACCCTCATGTACCAACGGGCCCTTAAGCAAACATCATTCCACATCTGGCCTTGGTGCTTCATTTTATCATGCCGCATTTTAAACAAGTCGTTCGCCCCACCCCCTCACTCCTCCTGCTGCGCTGCAAGGCGCCTCTCCAGCGTCTCCAAGCCAGCAGATTCAGCGCAAGTGGAGAGGTTCTCCTCGAAGTCGCTCTCCTAGAGGAAGCGTTACCAAGACAGGCTCTGGTTGTTAGCTGTGATTGGTTGCGTTTTTGCTATGTGGTTTGTTGCTCTTGTTTTGTATTTGGCGCAGATGGTGTTTGTTGGATGTTGTGCTTGTTGTGTAACGTGCTGCCTCATTGACTCGCTTTGCTTTGTTGTGTAGTGTTTTTACTTTTAGCGCCAGCAGTTGTCAACTCCCTGCTAACATAGCAGCAGCAGCCATCACATAAGTGCGCAGTCTTCAGATTGCTCCGCACTCTATCAAGGCAAATGGAATTCCAGGAACCACCCCCTTCCTCAATTATTATTTTAGGGGTGGGCATATATACTCCGCCACAACAGGAGGAAAAGAACCCCATCGCACAAGGACAGCACTCCTCGTGTTCGCTTTGGTCGCTGCAGCTGGTCACATCATCGTCCACCTCCGCCTTGGCAACTTTCAACTGGGCCAGGACCGCGTGCAAATCGGCATCGCTGGCGAACTGACTGCCTGGAGTGGACTTACTCAGATCTTTGCACCCCCAAAATCCCCGAGGTGGCATCACAAAAAGCTGTGCCGGCTGACCCATCACAAAAGGCTCTCCTGATTGCTTGCCTGGGGGCTGTGTTAAATCTCGATTGGAAGCCCGCTGCCCCTTTCCTCAAGTCTCATTTTTGTCAACCTTCCCTCTTCTCTCGCCGCTGCTCGTCGGCAAAGACGAAAACCAGCGACAGCTCACCTGTTTTTTGCCCGCCTGTCCAGGAGTGCGCTTCCAGGATGGGCCGCACCAACTGGGATCTCGCGGCCTGCTGCAGCTTGGCCAACTCCTCCGGAGCCGCCGCCGAAACCTGCAGCAGGGCCTCCAGTGCGTCGATGGCGGCCTGGAGGCCGTGCTCCAGGCCCTCCGGATCGGCGTCCAAAGAAGTCCAGGGAAGCCTTGGACTTGTGGCTGGGTGTGTCTTTTTGGAGTTGCTACCCCTTTTGGATGGCTTTAAAGGGAGACCAAAAGAAACCCCCCTAACAGAGACCTCGTGGTTTTAAAGGGAGACCAAAAGAAACCCCCCTAACACAGACCAATGTGTTTTCCACCATCATCAAGTCGAGCGAAGGGGCAAACAAATTCAGAAGTGACCAAAGTTGGCCCAGGAGCTGGGAGGAAGCGCTCAAGTCTGACAATCCAGGTGCATCTGCAGTCGCGCGCGGGCCTGCTCGGCCTTGGGCTCGGCCCAGGTTGCTGGCGAGGGCCACCGGTTTCCAACGTGCTTCGCCCGGCCCAGGATTCTTTGCTCTGGGTGCCTCGACATTCTGGCAGCTGGCACCAACCGAAGAGGCTTCTGCACTTCCTGGATGACTCGGCAACCCTCTAGTCTCAAAGTGGCGGAACTTGCATTCATGTCCAAGGGCGCAAGGAATACCTGGGACATCCTCGTGCAAATACAAGTTGTTGAACATTGAATGGGATTCTGCTCTAAGGCACGTCCCGGCAAGCCACCTGCAGCAGACTGATACATTCCTCTTGCCACTTCCCGCAGGTCCATTCTCAGTCCCGTCCGCAAGGTTTGCTGGGAGAAATTTGATGGCTTTGGAGCGCAACTCATCAGCCCCCACCCACTTTGTGGCGCCCGGCGGCAAGCCGTGGACCTTCACTTGCACCGGTGATCTGGTGAAGGCATGATTGATTGCGATCACGCTACCAAGCATCCAAATGCCACCGTAGTTCACGTTGACTTGTAGTCCCACTTGGACTGCCGCATAGTCTGGAATCGCTAAGGACTTCAAGCAAAGCCAGGAATCCGCCTTCGTCGCGTTCAGGAAGCGAACTTTTGCAGGTGGCTCCGTCCCATTGCTAAGCTCCAGCACCTCTGCAAACTGCTCCTTGTTGACATCTTCTACCTTCACAAGCATGCCCTCTGCAAGTCCTGAATGCGCCCTTCTGAACACCTCCGTTTGCAAGCTTGCTCCGCGCGTGGCTACAAGCGACTCCGATATCTGCTGCTGAATCTTGGACATGGTTGCTGGACGAAACGTGAGGGCGCTGGTTCGCAACCGCTCCGCCCCCACCACTCACAAACATTCTGCTGGCCGTTAACTGTCACTTGCACAGGCGATCTGCTCGACGAAGGGTTTACTGCCTTCACCGTGCCACTGTGCCACTTCATGCAATGCTTCACAGTCACTTGCAGTCCCACCTTCACGGCAGCGTAGTCTGGCACCGACAAGGAATTCAAGCAAAGCCACGCATCTGCCTTCGCCTTGTTCAAGTAGCAAACTTTCACTGGTGCCTCCACACCACGATTGACAGCCACCACCTCTGCAAAGTCTTCTTTCCCACCCTGCACCTTCACAAGCATGCCTTCTGCCAGTTCCTGGCCTGGACCCAGGGTTGTGTGCAAAATCGGCACGGCATCTTTGGGTTCGCTGGCTGCGTCTCTTTCCTGCTGACTTAGCAGCTCTCTGCTCTCAAAGTGCCGGAACTTGCATGACTGGCCCTGCCCACATGGCATCCCCGGAATGTCCTCATGCAAGTAGAGGCGCTTACCCGTCGAATGGGACTCTGTCTTCTGACACTCCCCTGCAAGCCACATGCAGCACACCGTCGCTGCTTGCTTGTCACTCCCAGCCACCTTTCCGTTCTGAGGGGTTGGCTCTTCTTGCGGGGCACAGCAATCACCTGACAGCTTTGCTGGGACAAAAGTGATGACTTTGGATCGCAGCTCATCAGCCCCCACCCATTTTGAGACATCCGACAAGCCCTGAACCTTCACTTGCACGGGCCATCTGCTGAATGCATGATTGATTGCGAGCACGGCGGCAAGCTTCCAGCTACCGCTACAGCTCACGCAAACGCTTTGTCCAACTTTGACTGCAGAATAGTCTGGTACCGACAAGGACTTCAAGCAAAGCCACGCATCTGCCTTCGCCTTGTTCAAGTAGCAAACTTTCACTGGTGCCTCCGCCCCACGATTGACAGCCACCACCTTTGCAAAGTCTTCTTTTCCACCCTGCACCTTCACAAGCATGCCTTCTGCCAGTTCCTTGTCCGGACCCAGGGTTGTGTCCAAAATCAAGCTAGCTGCGGCTCTTTGCTGCTGACTTAGCAGCTCTCTTGTCTCAAAGTGCCGGAACTTGCATGATGGCCCCCACCCACACGGCATTCCTGGAATGTCCTCATGCAAGTAGAGGCGCTTACCCATCGAATGGGACTCTGTCTTCTGACACTCCCCTGCAAGCCACTGGCAGCACACTTTTGCTTCTTGATTTGCAGTCCCAGCTGCGAGTGGATCTGCAGGGTTTGGCTCTTCTTGTGGGGCATGGCAATCATCTGACAGCTTTGCTGGGACAAAAGTGATGGCTTTGGATCGCAGCTCATCAGCCCCCACCCATATTGAGACATCCGACAAGCCATGGACCTTCACTTGCACAGGCGATCTGCCCAACGACGGGTTAACCGCCATCACCCCGCCACTGGTCCAGTTCCCGCTGTGTTTCACAGTGACTTCGAGGCCCACCTTCACCGCAGCATAGTTTGGTACCGACAAGGACTTCAAGCAAAGCCACGCATCTGCCTTCGCCTTGTTCAAGTAGCAAACTTTCACTGGTGCCTCCGCCCCACGATTGACAGCCACCACCTTTGCAAAGTCTTCTTTTCCACCCTGCACCTTCACAAGCATGCCTTCTGCCAGTTCCTGGCCTGGACCCAGGATTGTGTGCAAAATCGGCACGGCATCTTTGGGTTCGCTGGCTGCGTCTCTTTCCTGCTGACTTAGCTGCTCTCTGCTCTCAAAGTGCCGGAACTTGCATGCCTGGCCCTGCCCACATGGCATCCCCGGAATGTCCTCATGCAAGTAGAGGCGCTTACCCGTCGAATGGGACTCTGTCTTCTGACACTCCCCTGCAAGCCACATGCAGCACACCGTCGCTGCTTGCTTGTCACTCCCAGCCGCCTTTCCATTCTCGGGGTTTGGCTCTTCTTGCGGGGCACAGCTTTCATCCGACAGCTTCGCTGGGAGGAACTCAATGACTTTGGATCGCAACCGATCAGCCCCAACCCACTTTGTGCCTGTCAAACCGTCAAGGCTGACTTGCACCGGGTCGTTTTGACGTGCATGGTCAACATCCGTCACCTTTTCCACTTGCCGCTTGTTGGCTGTCAGGACAGTAACTTCCATTCCCACCTGAATCGCGGCATAGTCAGGAATTAGCACAGAGGTCAGGCAGAGCCATGCCTGCGCCTTTGCCTTGCTGAAGAATTTCACTTTCACCGGCGCCTCCGCCCCGCAATTGATCTCCATCACTTTGCCATAGCAAACGTCTCCACCATCGTGTACCCTCACCAACATCCCTTGCACCACCTTCAGAGAGGCCTTGCCCAGGGCCGGAAAACATCGGACTTAGACCATCCTTTTGGGGCCATGGAGGTCAGTTGATCCCTTGATTTTCCCCGACAAATAAGAAGACAACACCGCGGCCTCGCCCTTGCCCTTCGCGCTAGCCGGAGCCACACACGAATCCTGCGCCACCTGTCACAGGGGGATCATCCAACTGAGACTCGAAGCTCCTCAAGAAAAGAGAGCTACCCTGATAATATGTGTGGCAGAATCTTCATCATGACTGAGATGGCTATTCCAAGTGGAATGCATCAAAGCCAAAGTGCTGGCTACTGAAACTTGTTGCGTGCAGCTTCTCATGCCTTGCAAAAAGAAGGATGCAGGAGGAACTGGCAAAAGGCAACTTAAGTTGAGGATATCGGGCACTGACTCAATGAGAGACGCTGGCGAAACATCAATTCGCGCAAAGCACCGCAAGCTTCCTCCCTAAACGCCTCGCAAACACGTGAAGTCACTCTTCAACCCCAGAAGTCAAGCAATGTGAGTTCGCAACTGGCGCGCCTTCTCTGTGCGCTCCTCGCATGCGAAGAAGTCTGCCTCAGCGTTCATAGGTTTGCTGGCTTCGCCTCGATGTAGCGGCCCTCTCTCAAGATACGCGAGTTCATGGCCAAGCCCTCTGCGCACTGGAACAACCTCGCCATGGTCAACACTGCCTAGGTTCTCGATGTGGTCGTTTAAAAGGGAAACCAAAAGAAATCCCAGTGGAGAGCAGGCACTTTGAACAAGTATCCGCCAGATTGACAGTCCAGTGTGCTCTGAGGGTACTCCTTCCCTATACGAGCCATGCCCACCAGCCCAAGGCTTTGCCCAGCGCACCCTCCGTCGAGGCCGCGGCTGCCAGGGCCTCCAGGGCAGCCGGGCTCTCGTCGCACCACTCCCCGGTGCGGCGGAAGAGGGGCGAGCCCAGGTGCCAGGCCTTGCCACAGGTCTGCCGGAAGTGGAGGACGATCCAAACTTGGGGAGAAGTTTCAACATCTTGCTGTGACCCTGAAACCGCTTACAACTTACAAGCGGGCCATGTTGGTTGGGCGTTTTGTTTTTTTTTCTCCCCCCCTTTCTTTTCTGTGAAGGTTTCACAAACAGATTTTGTCTCAAACAAAACATCGGAGAGACCCTGAAACTGTTCGAACGTTGAACCTGAATGAGGGGGGACGCTTCACCTCGCCTCTGAGGAGGGGAGGCTGTGCAGCGCCACGCCCAGGCCGGAGCCCTGATCGAAGCCCTCCGAGCCGTCCTCCGAAGCGGCCGACCGTCTTAACCCACCCCAAACTGAACCACCCCCGAGTGGATTCCCTTCACAGAATAGGTTCACTGTCAAGACACTGGTGGTTTCTTGCAAGGAACCAGCAAGTAAACAGGTGTCTGTATGCGGCGTTACCCTGTTCCGCTACCCCAACATGGAAGCGCACGGATCCTTTGAGCAAAACTTCCGGCAAAGAGAGCTTGCCTCCTTTTTTGGATACTGGATTGAATCATGATAGAACCTGAAGGAGTCTTCCAAAAACCAATAGAAAAACCTGAAGGAGGAGCCGCATCGATATGTTGGGACTGTCACCTATTCATCTATCCAGGTCTTGATTGCACGATATGCGATTCCGCCTTTGACGGCCAGGCTAAAGATATGTGCGAGAAACCATGCATGCTTATGCCTCGTGTTCCTACATGTATGCCCGCATGCCCATGTGTGCCTTGAAATAAGGGGGGACCCAAAGCCTGGTGCGATTTCTTGGGTCATTTCCACTTGTGACACCCCCCCAAAGAGAATCCGGGCCGCTGTGTGAAATCAAGGACCCAAAAATGATGACCGGAGGCCGGCAAAAAACAACAGAAGAAACCGGTCTCCATGCAAGCAGGGCAGATTAACGTCGCTACGCGATACTCTTCACAGGGTAAAACTGTATCACCTCGCTTTCAGCTGGGTGATGGTCTGTTCCGCCCATGTCCTCCCTCAGGCTCGCATGAAAAGAACAGATTGCCTCTCCAATGGCAAGTCCTTTGCATAGGAAAGATTGGTCTTGGCTCCGCTTGTAAGGGCTGGTGCGTTTTCAATTTCTTGCCAATCCCCCTCATGTTCCTCCCTCGTTCAGGAGGGGCAACATGAGACCAAAACGTTTCCATCCCAAAAAGGATCGATGAAATCCTCCCTGCCATAGGATCTGAGAGAAGCTCCCACAAAATGTGTTCCTCTTCACGGGGCTGCGTGTCAGCTTCCAAACTTGCGGTGCTTAAAGATCAGAAGCAACACCAATCGACACTTACTGCAGGACCCCCAGCCAGGTTCCATGTCTGACTGGATTTGGGACAACCACTTTTCAGCTCCAAGTCTTCGGTCCTTCTTCAACCTGTAGATCCTCTGGCTGTACCTCTCCGCCACTCGAGAGTCCGTGGGACTCAACACCCGGCACCGCGCGAGGATCCGCTGGTGCCGCCGGCAGCCCTGCAGGAGGAGCAGCGCCAGGAGACGGCGGTTGTCCATGGAGTAGAGGTGCCCGTCCAGGACCACCTGCCACGTTTTCTGGGGCCGCCGGGTCTTATTCGGGCAGGTTTCAAAAGGACATCCAAAGGCCCAAAGGAAGATCAACCACCATTGGCGGGGTCCCTTACCCAAATATGAGCAACGGACAGAATGCTGCTGGTCTAGTGGGAAGACGTGGGGGGGCCCACCTTTCTTTTGTGCTCGAGTTTGGTGTACTTTTTGCCTGCGTCGTTCCGTGAGCAAATGTAGAATCAAGGGCATGATGACGGATCCTTTCATTTGGATCCAGGCTTCCGATTGGGGAATGCTTGATGTTGAGGTTGATCCCGCAACCCGACCAGAACAAAATCTGGCAACAGGGTTTTGCAATCTCACCCACGATTCGGGTTCCTCTCTTGGGGGTCCGTTTCTTGGTGCATTGTTCACCCATAAAAACGTGAGAATTGGTACCAAATCACGCCAAAACTGACTTTCCGGACCGCCAGCTATAGATCCACCCGCAAAGCCCACTCCCTAGGCTGCAAGATTCTAAGACAAACGGCGCTCCAAGCGAATCATAGGAACAATGGGAGGGCATGGGAAATCGGGCAGCCTTCCGTCTGTGGCTCACTTGGGCGAGCTTCTCCCCACACTAAAGGCAGTAATGTTGTCAGCGCACATGTGCCATGAGACAATCTCCTTACGTGGGTCATGGTAGCGATCCTCGTTGAACAAATCCTTCTCATGGTTGTCTAAATTCTGTACTAATCGATTGCCGGCCATTCCCAAAATATGTTGCTTTAAAGTGACATGTTGCTTTGACCCTGGTGTCTGTGTTTGTAGAGTGTGACGACCTCAAAAAATGAGTTCTACAAATGGGATGTGCTCAGGATCCATGTTAGTGTTCAGAGGAGTGATATTGTCACGTGCTCACATGATGCAACCTCCCAACATCTATCCAGAATGGGTGCTTCTTAAAATAGAGGGTCCACAAAATGGGCGGCTTCCCTTTTGGCTTCCCAGTCGAAATCACCCTTAAAAAAAGGTATAGTAGCGTGCATTCTAAAAATGTGTGATATCCTAGAAAAGATGATGTTTCAAAGCGCCTTTACACGCACTGGGTCCATCAAAGTGATATCCTCAGAATTGCCCTTATGATGGTTGTTTGGAGGGAAACAACCTCCCTTTCGTCACTCAGAAAGGACCCCTCGAAATGCAACGCACTTCAATGGACTCTTGCACCTACCCACCCACCCAGTTGCAAAGACTCTCCCGGCCTCCAAGGGCGGAAGCTCATCAATGCTCTGGCGCCCACTCAGCAGCTCGTGCAGCAACTCGTAGACGGAGCGGTCCTGTGGGATTGCCACATGGGATATGGAACCGGCAAAATGGGCTTCGCTTTCCCTTGGGCTTCCATTTATCAAGAAAGACACATGTATCTATCTATCTATCTATCTATCTATCTATCCATCTATCTATCTATCTATCTATCTATCTATCTATTTATCTACTTATCTATCTATCTATGCATATATGTGTCCCACAAAAACAAAGGAAACCTTGTGTCCCACAAAAACAAAGGAAACCTTCTCCCCGGGTCACCCCAAAAGCCAAAATGCCCTCCCTACCCGCCCCCCAAATAAAAATATGTAGTACTACCAACCCCCTCCCCAGCAACGAACAAAAAATATGACTCCCGGCGACCCCCGACCAACCGGCGCGTTGCGTTCCTGGTGGCCCGAGGAGAAGACCATCTGCCCGTTGACCCGGGACTGGGTGAAGCGCAGCCACCACACTGGGACCCGCTGCACAGAGCCCAAGCTCTGGCCCAGCCGCGCCAGCTCGCTCCTGGGCTTCCGAAGCGCGAATCATCTCGGCCGGTTAAGTTAGACAAAGGCCACACGCCACATTGCGGAAGCCCCACTGCTCGAGAAAGGTGAATTCACAAAGGGTGCACCCGAAGAAAACACACGCCCATGCCAAAGGGTTCCGAGAGATGTTCACTGTGCCGCACTGGATAGGAGTACCTTTGGGTGTGCCCCATTTACAAAAAGATCTATATCCGCAAATCGTTTATAGCCAGAGATATGCACCAAGTGCATGTGCCTTTTTTCCGGGCTCGCTACCCTGTTTTGGGTTGCTTAAAAGGAAAACGAAAAGGAATAGATATGTTCTCCCTCTGATGAACAACCCGCATAGCGTGCCCAGCTCAAACGCACCAAGCTTCCGCGGGCATTCCCATGGGTTGGTCGAGCTGTGCATCTCCGGCCGCCGCGGCGGCGCTTGCGGCTCGGCCTTCAGCTCGGCAAAGCGCTTGAGTATGAGGCGGCAATGGAGTTTCTTGGCCTTCATTTCCTTCAAGTCATCTGAAAGCTCACTTTCGTCCACCATGCTCAGGAGCTTCACATTGTCGTAGCCAAGCTCCATGAACTGCCCTGCATAGCAACCCAGCGCGGGGTCGATGGATTCCAGCCATTGCTGGATGCTAAGCTCGTGCATTTCGACTAAGCGCCAAGCGCCCGCGAAATGCTCCGTGCTCTGCGTCAGGTCAGTCAACAACCCTCTAATTACTGGATTTTCTTTGGTTGTGCAAGCCCTGGCTTGAGCCCAATCAGTACTCAATCTTTCATATGAATCTGCACTGCACTCACCCAACTTCATGAACCCGTGAGTAAGCGACCTATGTATCTACGCTGTACCAGCACACCCTCACGTGTACCCGCACGAGCATCCGAGCTGGTCAACCCACGCGCACCTGCACAAGGTAGCATCTGCACTAAGCACACTCGCTCACTGGCACTCGCACAAAACAATGTCCGCGCTGGCCACGTAACAAGAGCAGCTCACGCTGGCCAAGTAACGATAACACAGCCGATCATATGCACCCGCGCACGGCAGTATCCGCACACACACACACACAGCCTCACAAGAAAGTATCCGGGCAAGTGTGGGAGTATGGCTATTTTAGGGAGAGCTTGGATTTGTCTTGTGTGGCTTAGGGATGGTTCAGTGCCGTTTCGGGTTTGTAGATTTTGGGTAGGTTTGGCTGTGCCCAGAGATGGCTTCGCTTCTTGGTGAGAAAGCTACCTCCTGAACCACGCAGCAGATACAAGAAGGAACCATGAGAAATCAACAAACAGGTAAAATAGAATATGTTCACACCAGTCCAATCTTCCCCTCCATTCCACCTCTGCAAACTTCTACTCCTCGCACATCTTACACGACTCTCACACGCATCTGCGGCGCTTGCAACACAGGTAGCGAGTTTCTCAGGTTTGGAGGAACCCTTTTCTCAGGTTGTTCGAAAGAACCGAGGCGACACCACCGTCCCTGTTTGACGCGCCCCGTACAGCACCTCTGCGCCCAGTCTTTTTAAGACCCTGATAGCAGCTTTTTCAGGAATTCTACGAGCCCCACAAGAAGACTTGCCTCAAAACTGGCTTACAAGCACCTTGAGCCTGTTATGGAGCGTGAAAAGGAGCTTTCCGCTGAGCCTTTAAGTAGCATTGTCAAGAGCTGTATCAGGAGCCCTTTCATGGAGCTTTATACCAGCTTGAGTCAAGACTTTAAAGCTGGTATCCCGCTCCATTAAGGGCTCCTTATAAAGCGCTGACCTTGCTGAACGTTTTTAATTTCTGCTGTTTCCATAAGCATCCTCGCTCTTGATTGAGGAAGTCTTGCGGTGGTCATGTATGAAATGAATAAGGAAAGGAGACTTCCGCACAATGCAGCAGTGCGAGCGTCTCCCTTGCCTTTTCCAGCCCAAAAATCAAGAATCCAAGATTTTCTGACAGATGTCTGGTAGAATTGAAAATCTTGGAATCTTGGTTTTTTGAGGAGGTCTTGGCTTGGCTATCTTGATCTTTCAACTAAAGAAAGAGATGTCCAGGTAAAACTAAAGAATAACAAATCCTTGGGTTGCATCCCTCGGCCTCAAGTAAACAGGTGTCCAGCAGCAGGGCAAGAGCGCATCCGGTTTTCCCGGCGGGGAGGGTGGGAAAGGCTCGTCTGACACCCTGACTTGAGGAAGCCCAACAAACCAACCCAACTAGGAAAAAAACTCAAGCCCAACAATCTGCATGTGTATATACATGTCCATATATATATATATATCATACATCCACACACAAACACTCAAGTAGGCAAACACTCAAAACCGCACATTCTGCCGTGCACGAGAGACACCTCAAGCTCGCAAAGAAGAGTTCTCCGACATTTTCCTCGCCCCAGGCAAGCTTGCGTGCATGGAAACGGGTTGTGGCAGGGTTGGGTCTACCGCCCAACTTGAACACTAAACTACGGATTAAACATCCTCAACCGCTGTTCAAACATTCTCATGTACTTTCCCTTCTCAAGTGGTCCATGGCCTTGGTTCAACCAAGTCCGCCCAACCCTATGCGGAACTGCTGACAGTCACCTTCACTGGTTTCGCTGCAGCAAAATCGTGGCTCCCTCAAAGTGTTCCCACCCTCCGGATAGAACACATGGGTATGGCTCAAAATAGGGGCCGAAAATGAAACCCTGGAAAGCTAAAAAGTAGACTAAAGCCTGCGTAGCCCCAGGCGTTCAATTTTGAGCCACTCCCAAATGGAAAGCCCGTACACCAAGGGTGCGAGTGTGGTCTGTCGCCGGTCGGCCTGGGTCAGGGTCTGATGGCGTAGCTCGGGATGTGCAAGAAGTCTTTCAAAGAGCCAACGTGAAGCTCAATGAAACTTACTAGCTCTTCAAACAAAGCACTGAGCAAACCCTCTTAGGCTGGGGAGAGGGTGGGCTCTTTTCTTTGGGGTGGGGGGGGGGGGGCGTTTTCGGGCTATGTTGGTGCGTATGCGAGGGCTGCCTTTGATTTGAGTGTTGCCTATTCTTCGGGTTCTGGATGAACATGTGTCGGTTCAAAGGCTGGATACTTGGAGGGACAGAACAACGGGAACAAACAACGCTGCCTTTTGCCACATCCACTCACGCTGGCACGATGTTGTACATCACGTCTGTGGTTGCCCTCATGTAATATATTAATTATGTTCAGGGATGAGAGTCATGCCCGTTTCAGGATATACCGCAACATGGCCAAAACAGGTGCTACGATCGCGTACCCCCCGACCCACTCTACCCTCATTCGAGCGGCCCTCCTTCAAGGGGCCAATGTATGAGGATGTCACATGCTGGAGATTTGACTGTATATATCCAGCAGGTTGTTCGCCTTGCAAAATCAGCCCGCTGGGGCCAATCCGCCACCAGCGTGATGGGTCGGAATGCTGTCGCATTCCAGGTTTTGCGACTGACACTAGTGCCTGCGGTCGCTAAAACGAAATGTTCTGTGACTGGCCCAAGGGTCAAGCAACAACGTGCTCCGTGACTGAGACACGGGTCCGCGGTCGCTAAATCGAGAGGTTCTTCGACTGAGACAAGGGGCCTGACGTCGCAAGAAATAAGAGCTACGCGACTGACACCAGGGCCTGCGGTCGCTATAATCACAAGCTTCTTCGACTGCGACAAGAATTTGCTATCACCACAACAACATTCTCTGCGACTGACACCCGGGTCGCTAGGTTCAAACATATGTGGATAGAACTTGCAAACTGATTTGGTCGCCAGCCTGTGTCGGCGGCGGCTCTAGGCTACGGGGCTCAATCAAGGGAACCGGCTCCTCGACTCTCGGTTCCTCTCTCCCCGCCACTGCAAGCATCTCGGCCTGCGGAACAAGGGAAACAAACAGGCCAAGGCCAAAGCGAACCAAGGAGAACAATGCTGTATGCAAGGTGAAGGACGGTGAAGGACGGTGAAGGCCTGTGGAAAATAGAACTTTGTGTAACTACTTGGTCCCTTGAGACAAGATCAAACGTTTACCATTTATGGGCTTGCTTAGCACCCCAAGTGCCAAGATGCCTTTTGCTTGGTCTCTTCAAGCTCAAGCAGTGTGCTGGTCGAGGTGGACATTCGGGCCAAGGACTTCCTTGCAGAAACCCATCAACGGAATTAAGTTTTGGTTGGTATCTTATGGTAGGCAACGTGTCTTCTTACAAACCCTGTGTTTGAGTATGTTTGGAGGAATTCAGGCATCTTGTGTACCCAACAAACTTCCACCCTGTAAAAACCTGGCCAAAAGCAAAAACCATCGATGTTTTCATTCGCTCTGCGACACAAAAATTTGTGAAATTGTCCTCGGGCCATTGTAAGATGTGGTGCTCACGGAGAGCTGATGTGCCAGGTGCATCCGACCCTCATCGAAGTATGGGGCCAGGGTGGTGAGGACTGCAGCCAGCTTCCGCCTCTTCGCGCGCGGGGTTTGGTGGCATTCACCTAAGCCTCGAAGGCAACCGAGACCAGTGATTGATGACCCCGTAGACGTGTAGGGCGATACAAAAGGCAACCCCACCCTTTGACTTCCCGTTGAAACAACCACCAAAAGGGCACTGCCAAATAGGGCCTGGACAACTTCTGAAAACAATGAATCCTCTTTTGGCTTCCTTTTGGGGAAGCCAAAAAAGAATGGCAAAACCACTCAAACAAAAGACACAATCCTTAGAGTAAACACCCCTTTTCTGGAGCGAGGCAATGTTTTTCAGTCTGGGAAAATGAGGCGTAAGAACTAGTCGTGCTGGATCTTCCTGTTGAGATAGGATGTGGATTTCCATGTGGTTGGTATTGCTGGTTTGGAGTTTCTGCTGAGATTGGATTTAAGCTTCATTTGATGTGGAATTGCTGGAGCTTCCTTCTTTCCCGGTTCTGAGTTTTCATTGCGTGGTTCGAGTGTGCATTGAATTTGCTTTTGGGGCTGCGTTGGATGTCTTAGATTTTAGCGACAATCTTGAGTTGAAACGAGCCTTCAACTGGAAGACTTGGGCTAATGGGAGTTGGAGTGTTCACGATTTATACAAAGAAGAGAACGGTTTCATTGTTGTGAAAACCTGGCTACTTTATGCAAAAGTTCATGGTTGCCTCTTCCCTCCCCTATTTGTCCAGCTTTCTTTACGTCTGTCTGGGCCTGGCTGTGTGTGTGTGTGTGCGCGCTATTGGTTGGGGTTCTGTTTCTTTTCTTTACTTCGGGTGGTAACAGGCAAAGCAGCTTTGATTCTTTGGAGTGGACTATGCTTCTGGCCAAAAGTTCAAATTCTTTGTAAGAAGCGGCAAAAAACACGTGGGCCAGACTGACTGTCGCCTGTCATAGGCGCTGAGCTCATCTATGGTATGCTCAAGAAACTTGCGGTCTGCTTGTCCAAAGGACAGACAAAACGCATCGAGCGCGTTCATCAGCATGGAGTTGCTTGGAGGCTTGCCAAGGGTCAGAATGCTGAGCTCGTCCTTGGAGCCCATGGCAGATCTTGAAATAAATGCCAGACCCACAAGGCACAGTAGAACAAAGGCAACCGAGTATAGCATGCCAAGGACGCCCATTGCAAGCACCGAATATGTCTGCATTTCTCCATCTCTCAAGCGATCCAAGAACGCTGAACCTATGAAGAGCAGCAGAATCATCATCATACTCATAGCTCCATCGGCAACATTGATGAGAGGGGTTTTCCATGGCCAAGCCACAAGTTGAATCACCATGTAAACCATAAGGACCGCAGTCATTGTCAATAGCTGCATCGCTGGAACATCGGTGAACACGACAACCGGCAAGGAAAGCAAAGGCCCCCGCAGGATGAACCACGCGCCGTACCACCAGTAGTCACCCCGGAAGCGGAAGAACAAGAAGCGCGTGGCTTGCAGAAAGAAGGCATCCCCCTGCGTAGATCTTCTTGGGGCCTGCAGCACAGCCCACAGCAAAATGGCCCAAAACATCGCCATAATGGCGGTCATGAGGCCTCCAAACACAGCCATGGTAGAATGCTCACCTCCCTCCCAGCATATTACATCTGTGAACCTTAATACGCTGGATTTGCCATTGGGATGCGAGAAGCACATGAAAGGCATGAGCGCGGTCTTGGACATAATTGTGAAGCCAATCTGAAAGACCTGGCCGATGGTGCTCAGCAACTTTGCCACAGCGAAACGAAAACGCCTGGGGCCCAATTGTGAAACTACACTGCAGGCAACCAGCCAAAGTAGAGCACCTGGCCAGCAAGCAACACTAATGCAGTACCGGACTGCCGAGGAGAAACCTAGGCAATCAAAGTTCAGCGATTCCAAATCCAGCATGAAAATAGACACGAAGTCCATCAAGGGCTGCATGTAGGATGGCCAGTCAAGAGAGACTAATCCAACCAGGCCGATGGTTTGAAGAAGCGTCAAAGTCATGCCGAAAGCCATGGTTGTGCTTAGGATGGTTGAAGCCTTCGCAGTCATCGGGGAGTTCATGAAGTAGTAGAACATGGGAAGCGCACAGCCCGTGACAATGCTGGATGCAACAAAGGATAGCAGGTCGAAGGGCTCGCAATCCTTGTCAGGGTTCTCTGAGCAAATAAATTGTTTCCCTCAAAACACACGATTTCTTCACCCAATGGACAAAGACAAGGCCGATCCTTGCAGTGGTCCACACCAAACTTCTGACCCGCTTGGCATCGCGCACAAGCCAAGCCAATGCGCCCTCTAGCGCACGTTCCTGGAACGCCGCCTGGACAGTGACTGTTCTTCCCGCACTTGTACACCTGCGTAGGCTCACTCGGATATGAAATGTAGCCTGGAATCAACCTCGGGAAGGTCAGCTCCTTATCCGATCCAACAAGAAAACTCTCGTAGTTGCGTAGGTCACTGCCCAAGATACAATCTAAGCCTTCCATACAGTTTTCACAAGCGCCCGCACCTGGCCGACCATCCCCATTGAAAACCGTGCCCTCTGGGCAAACGCAATCTGATATGGTGGTGGCTGCCAAATATTGCGTTGTCATCCGGCCGGGGCACTGCAGGCATGCCGATTCATTGGACCTGTATCTTCCACTTCCACATCTTGAGCAACTTGTTGAGGCTTCTTGGGTCGTAAAGAATCCTTCACCACATTGCGCGCATTGCGTCGTGCCCGGAAATGACGCCATCTCGTTGATTGGGCATGGTGCGCATGTGGTCGAGCCCTGCAGAGAGAAGTGGCCAGGAGGGCAGTACAAGCAATCCGACTGCGCTGATTGATTGCTGAACGAGCCAGCGCTACAAGGGGAACAAGAAGCTGCTGCTGTCTCCTTCTTGTAGAAACCAGGCTGACAGGCACGGCAGAACAAGCCATCAACCGCCTCAAAGCCAACCTGGCACCTCTGGCAGGCCGTTTGCCCCACTACATCCGTGTATTTTCCTCCCTCGCATGAGGTGCAAGGCGTCGGAGTGTCCAAGAACTTGAACTTGCCCAAGGGACACAAGGTACAATTGTAGCTTGTCTTCGGATTTCCAAATTGATTCACGTATGGCACAGCTGAGAGCTCCGTGCCCAGAGGGCAAGTGTCTGGCTTGATGGAGACATAGTCTGCCTCGTCATTGCCCCTCTCTGCGATTCGCGCTCTCATCTTCGCCAACCGTGCTACATTTGTTCGAATGTATCCCACACTTGACACCAGTGCCTGCCCTGGCGAGCTAAAACCGAAGGCAAGGAATGGATGCACGTAGTCCCAAGCCGTGTTGTCTACATTCACGTAGAGCTTTCGTTTGAAAACACTATATGAGCCATCCGTGATGGTGTAAGTGGAAGGCTCAACTTTTGCATCCGCCGTCTCCTGCACCCCGAGGAACCTATCACTTGCAATTCGAACAGTGGACAGCTCACCGGCAAAAATCGAGTAGTACGCATAGCCAAAATATGAAATACCACCAGGGTCCTCAGCGGTTGCTTTTCGACACGCGAGCAAACGAGAAAAAGATAGACGTCCAGTGCGGGCCCAAACCAAAGTGTTCCAAATTCTGGGTCCAAGTACCCAAAACACTCTGCTACCTACGGCCACGCTCTGAAGACGTGTTGTCCCAACCTTGATAGATGCAGCCAAAAGTGAAACAAACTAAGATCCCAACTAAACACACACAATTACCAAGAACGATGAACACAATACAACATTGTACCCGGGTGAAGCCAGACGCGTTCCAACCATGACGATGCACCGACCAGCGCCAATGTCCGTGTGATTCTCCCTCCCCCGGGGCAAATGGGCGGAGGGTGGGGTGGCTTTGCCGGTTTGTATCAGAACACGGCAGGAAGATAGTTGTCATTGCACGCAGCGTCCAGTGCCTGTTGGAGACGGCGCGTATCTGAAATATGAGCGCCGCAGCCCGGCTGCTTGGTAACCGAAAGCCATTGTGGAGAAGGCTCAAGCCCGGCTTGGGACTTCCATGGACCAGAAAAAAAGGCAGTTCCCCCTCGAAGTTCCAATATCAACACTATAGTTGGGAGAGCGCTTCTGTTCCCCCCGCTCCCTCTCGGTTTCTTGCTCTCTTTCTCTCTTGCTCTGTGTCTCTTGCTCCAGCTCTCTCTCTCTCTCTCTCTCTTTCTGGCTGCCCTTTTCTCTCTTTCTCATCCTCTTCCTCTTTCTCTTTATCTCTCTCTTTCTCCCGGCTCTTCCTCTTTCTCCATGTCTCTCTTTTCACATTCTCTGTCTCTTTCTCCCCTCTCTTTATCTGTGTCTTTTGACTTCTCTCTACTTATTTTGATTTCCTTGTCCTTCCTTTCCTAATATGTTATGCTGTTTGTTCATTATGTCTATTATTTCCTTCAGTATGTTGTTGATTGATTATGTCTTTGTTTCTTTGCTTCTGTGTTCATTTATGTATTTATTTATGTAGTTATTTATTTATGTCTATCTGTCTTTCTTTCTTTATGTATTTATGTTATTTATTTACTTATTTACTTACTTCATGTCTTTATTTATTTATGTATTTCTTCTTTTTTTTATTTGTCTTATTCATTTTATTTGCTTTATTCCGTTTCTTTCCTTATTTATTCCCTTCTTAATTTCATTACAGTAGTTCTTTATTTATTGTTTTCTTTCTTTCTTTCTTTCTTTCTTTCTTTCTTTCTTTCTTTCTTTCTTTCTTTCTTTCTTTCTTTCTAGGAATGCGTGTTTTTCCATCAGGTTCCCCTTCGAACCTGTGAAAAAGAGTAGCCTCGAAAAAACTGACGCCACAAAGAAAGTCAACCGTAGTAAAGGTCTCAAAACATCTTGCCAACTCGACACCTTTCCAGGACTCGCCCGGCGACACCGTGCCGAAAATGTCACCCACAGCTTCGCACGGGTGTTTCTGTGTTTTCTGTGTTGGCGCTCGTGGTGTGCTACGTCTTGAGGAGTCTTTACTATACCTATATATGTATGTATATATATATATATACATTTATGTGATGTATGTTATAGCTTGTTGTACCTATAGCCTGTTGCATAGTCTGTTGCATAGCCTTTGCATCCGCATCTAGCCTCTTGCACATAGCGCGCACTGCCGTTGGCTCTCCAAAGCTTGCAACTGCTCAGTGTGCTCTGGTTGTGACAATAGACCTCATATCAGAGTGCATGGTGTGTTGTAAGCTTCGAGTCGGTATGTAGGTTTCTTGTGAGCACAAGGTCTGTAGTATCAGTGGTGTTGTTTTGGTCTTGGCATTGACGACGTGTTTCTTCAAGAGTAGGAAGGTGTGCATTCATGCCGCAGGGTGGTCGGCAGAAAGAGGCGGAGGCCAATGTCACGTTGTTCAGCATTGGAAGGTGCGTTCAGGCTCCTGGACATACATCCCAAATGCGTGTGTCACAACTCGAAGAAACTTTGCGTGTTAAGATCTAAGAAGACTTAACTTCCGGAAAATGTGCTTGCCAAGCCATGGCAAGAAGCCGTTCGAGTGGTGTCTCAATTGCTATCCCTTTGGAAAGTGCAGTCTGCAAACAAACAATCTGAGCTACAGGCCATGCCACAATTCACGGAAACAGGGGCGGTAGCACCTGCCTTTGGCAAACAGGAGCTTTGCCAAAATCTAGACATCCACGGTAAACAAAATGTTCCCAGCCACCACCACACATGTAAAGCCAAATTCACATGGCGCTCAACGCTGAAGTGCCTGCCAACTGTAACACACAATGAGCCAAGTGGTGTGGGCGTTGAGCCAAGTGTCAGCAGTTAACCACTGAACAAGCTGGTAGTCCGACTCGGAAGCCATATAGCAGTTTGGAGGCCTGCCATTCGCCATGTAGGTCTTGAGCGCCGACGCATGCTCCAATGCATGCTGGTCATTGTCCGGGCACCAATTGAAATCCTCCCTCCTGTAGCCAGGCTTGCCTCAGGGCTCACAAAAATGTGCATGGGGGGAATCATCAAACAGCCAAAGGACCATCCCAGTGTAGTTTCTGAGCTTGCCATGCCCGTGCCTGCGAGGCAATCTTTGCACAACGCCGTCTCTGCAAAGAAGTCGAAGGTTCCTGAGTCCGAGCCTGGGCCATACGCGTTGATGGGGACTTCATCACATTGAGACGAGATGTCACTCCACTCCTTGACATTGTCACCATCATCATTGTGAATGACAGATGCCATATTCAGGCCATAGTCTGCCAGCTGATCATTAGTCCAGTTCGAGTAGATCCAATGAAGCATGGCAAGTGTTAGTCCGCCAACTTCCGGACTGGTCAGACAATCGTGGGCTATGGTGTTTTTGCCAACCACCACAGCCAAACCATCCACACCCACCTCAATCTGCGTGACACGATTCTTCGAACCCACGCATTCCCAAGTGTAGGCATCATCCAAGAGAAGCGCCTCAGAGTTTTTCCACTCTCGAGACATGTCTCCAATGTCCACATGTTCAGGGTCGTCGCGGGGAAGGCAGACTCGTCGCGCTCCCGCGCTTGACCCTCCTCCCGCAATGCGGATTTCCTCGCTGCTCAAGTTCATAGCTTCCTTGGTCTTTAGGAAAATCGCACCCGTTTCGCGGTCCATCTTGAAGGGGCCACACAAAAAAGAAAACACAACGAAAAAGGGAAACACTCCCACTGGGCAGCTGGGTTTCTGCCCATGCATTGACAACCGGAAAAACAGTGGAAGAACCGGCGACTCGCACTGTGGTTGGTGCAGCGCACGGCAGCGCGAAGAATGAGAATGGCAGCAGCGATCGCATGGGGCCCCACATATATTGAACCAAAAAGCTAAAACTGGTTCACAGGTTTTCACAAGAACGTGCCGAAGATTGGATGTGGCAAACACATTCAAATGCTTCATCCGGCAAACTGAGCTGTGGGCTTGGGGGTTGTTGTGATACGTTTGAATGAAGCTGCACAAGATCCACTCAAAGTGCTATGAGAAAAATACTCTCGGATTTCCAAAGTGTTTCCTGGACAATGCAGAGTGCGGAATGTGTTGGCCCCGCGCCCCATATCCAAAAAACATGTAAGCCGTCTGAGAGCGCAACTCCACCGAAGGTCAACCTTCCCATGCTGGGGGGGGGGGGGGCGGGGCGTGGCGGAGGGGCTGCTCAAACAAAGGAAGGCAGGCACCTTTCAAGAAAAAATGTCATCGACATTGGTGGAACTCAGGTTGGCTATCGTCAGACAATCAACCTTAGCAGTCACCGGATTTTAGGGAAAGTTGTTCTGCTTGCAACCTCCAATCCCTGAGACAAGCAAAAAAAGAAGGGTCCCAAACTCGGACAAAAAGGATACTGGATCCTTTTTTTTTGTTTTTGTTTTTTGTTTTTATTGATATTTTTAGTTTTTTCGAGAGCAAGTCACCTTGAAGCATCGAACAAAAACCATCCCTTACGCCGGGAGGCCGCATGTGGTATAAAATAACGCAGCCCCTCTTGGATGTTTCACAGGAAAACCAAAGCCACCAGCTTTGGGGGTTCACCATATTGGGACAACACCAAGCCGAGGCTCCAGAACAACGATAACCATTATTAAACGAAACCTGACAAGCGGAGTGCGGACCTTGTTTCCTTTGATCCACTTAGAGCCTGCGATGTCGTGGCTCATGCCTAATTCCCAACGTGCATGGCAATGCGACTGAACATCACTTGTGTCTTGACATGCTGCCTTTGCATGCCAAGGCACACAGGACATGCCGTAAGCCTACGCCCTCGGCCAAAGTGTTGGCAGGTCCCCCATACGACCCGCACAGTGCAAGAAACTTGCGTCGGCGTGCACCCCCCCAGCCGGGGCAAGTCCCCCATATGACCCGTATGCAAAAGTTATCAACAGCGCAAGAAGAGACATGCTAGAACTGGAAATCCGCCGCTTTCCCGCCGGTTTCCGCTGCAAATCCGGGGGTAGAAAAAACTGAAAACAAGTTCTGCCGCAATTCAAAAAACGCCGCAAATCAAGAAGAACCGCAAATCCACAAAGGCGTTAAGGCCTGTTGCACTGCTCCTAGCTTGAACCCAAACAACCCTCCAAATCCACGAGCTCCGCAAACCCAAAATGGCGCGCACTTCTTCTTCACGGGTTGCTTGAAAGTAGCACTGCCTCCAGAGCACGCGGTGCACCTGGAGCAGGAGGAAGCATTGTCCCCGCGTGAAACTGAAAGGGGCGCCAGACATGCGAGTCCTGGCTATTTGCAGTGCTTTGGCACAGCGCGGCATGCGTGCCCGCGCTTCTGTAACAGACAGCGGTCTGTGTGAAGACCAGGGAGTACCGCGGGTACAGCCCTAGAAAGCGAAGGCAAGGGCAGGCGTGCCCAAGCTCGCTGTGGGGGCGCTGAGCGTCAGCCGCCTCGGAGCCTGCCTTGTACAAGGCAGAGCTGGGTGGGCGGGTGGGTTTCAATCGAAACAAGCGGTTTGAGTTCAAGGCTAGGAGCAAAATGGCCACCGCGTACGAGATTCACAACAGGCCCTAAACACAAGGGAAAAGAAAACCCTAAGCGTCTTGCACTGCTCCTAGTTTTTTGACCCGAGGCAGCGTTCCGTGTCGAGCACGCGTCTGCACAAAAGCCAGGTAAAACAAAGGTGGTGAGAAGATATCGCAAAAGGGGGGTGAGACGAAAGAGAAAGTGAGAAGTATAGATTCAAGGGTTACCGGTTTGGGGCCCAAAAGGAAACAACAAACCGTCCAAGTGCGCTGCTCGCACATTTTCACGCTTGAACAGCCACACTGCGGATGCAACGGATGTAAAACCCCAAACTGACCGATCAAATTCTTCACCCCCCTCTGCGTGTTAAAGGGGCCTTTCACAAAGCAGCCAAACGGAAACACAACAGAGGGAGAAGGTCATGGGGAACCGTTGTATACATGCAAACCATGACAGTTGCGCTTTTAGCGCCACTGCCAAGTAGATTGGTAACCGCTGCTGTCATACCATCCTCCCCAACCGGACCAGTTCTGCCAGCTGCCTTGGCTCCAATGCTCACCCTCGCGGGCGGCGGGAGCGCTCTGATCGGCATAGCGAGCGGCATTGCGAGCGAGGTGCTTGGTGCTCTCGTTCTTTGAAAACTCAACTGAGTTTCGGGCATATCGCTCGTTCTGGCTGAAGATCCAGTCCATTTCGTGGCGGAGGTCCTCGAGGGAATTGCTTCGCAAATGGATGATGCCATTCCAACATCCAATGCTGCGAGGCTTGTCCTGCTCGGAGACAACATTCACAAAAGCCCGTGGACTGTATGGCATTCCCTGAAACATGATGATCCAACGGGAACTGAGTGCATCCTGCAATTCGCTGGGCAGAAACTCCACCTCCGTCTTTATGTACGCGAGCCTTGCGATTCGCGACTCAGAAGTTGATCCAAGGCCAACTCCAAGAGTGCGCTGGGCTTGCGACTGCTTTGGAGCAGCCAAGACGAGGTTTGCACACAACTCCATGCGGAGTATATCCGCATCCCGACGGCCCACTTCAAGCATACGAACCCTGTATTGAAGGTCGAGTTCATAGCGATCAAGTAGAGAGTGGTAGCCGTTCTTCAGGGCGGACTTGTGCTTCTTCCGGGCCTCCTGAATGACAGCACTGTCCGGGGAGTTCAGGCCACGAAGGATGCTACTCCGATCCTCCTCGCGGAGGTCAAAAGTTCCCACGGATGCCAAAACCTGGGCTGTGACATGGGTGCTGAGGCCCATCTTCTTCAGCAAATTGGAACGCTGCAGAAGGTAATTCTTTTGCTGCTCTTTCAACAGGCGAGGGTTGAGGGGTGACAACTGCCCACATGATGTGCAGTGGACCTGCCCCTCGAACACACTGTTGTTGCAAACCGGGCACGTGGCGACATTCAGCTCAACGTTCTCCATTGGATTGAAAGTCTTCTGTCTCTTCGCTTCCCCTTGCGGGGCGCGAGGAGACGCCACATTGGTGCGGGTTGTAGCAATGCGCTCCAGTGCTGTGGACCGATCATCAACCACGGCTTGGTCGCGCTTCATCCCCTGGGGTTCATCCTCAGTCGCCGCAGCTGGTGCACCTGCATCCGATTGCTCGGAGCGAGTGTACCATACGTCGCCATTTGTAGCGTCCAATACAGAAATAATCGTGTAGTTGGGCACCTTGTCGCGCGTGAGGACGCCATCGCTCTCTGTCTTGAAAAAGCAAAGCCCTGCGCGAATGGCCATCCTGAGGTCGATCTGTATTTCCAAGGGCTTGTTAGCGCGTACACCTGAGATGTAATTCTCGTTTGTGCTCGGAATGTCAGCGAAGAAAACGTGAGGTCTGCCTGTCTCGTGCTGGTCACCTCCTCCTGGAAGCAGTCCGTTTCGCATAATGTTGGCGAAGTTCCGCTTATCGGTGCGATGATAGAGCACCGTAGGAGGGTTGCTGCAGACGTTCCAGCCAGACCAGCGCCCGAGGTCCGTCCCCGGGTTCACGTACCACTCCTTTGCGATGCCGGAGTCGTCAATTTGGAGCCAGTCCTCATGGCCTTGGGAGGCCTTGATCTTGAAAATCCAATGAGAACAGGGGACGTCTCCGCACCGGCTTGCGTCCGGGCAACCAAGCGCAATGAACCTCTGCTTTTTGTCGAGCTTGAAGATGTCCATGATGCTTTGAATATTCCATGGAATGGGATGTCGCAGCTCCTTGCGAAGCGCGAGTCCCAAATCTTCAAGGTCCATGTAGCCGTCCTCATCCATCACGTACCCACATCCTTCTGTCCCTCGACCACGGAGGATCTTCGAGATGCACGTCAGGGAGCTGTGGTACTCATTGCTGATTCTCCTGACGGAAGGGTCGTAATCAAAAGAAGGCTGCTTGATGATCTCAAGTCGCTTGGGGCCCTCACCATAGTCAACATACTTCACGCCGTCATGGATGCTATAAACCCAGCAATCGTAGTGGCCCCCAGTCACGTTCCTCCCGTAGGAGTCGAGTGGTACCGGCCTGCTCGTCGCCTCGTCCCTCTGTGCCACCGCAGCCGCCTTTGCACCGGCTTGCGCCGGGCGAACACTTTCGGAAACATCAGCACCGGAAGGCTCACCTGAAGTTGCAAATTCGGCTGGATCGACAGGGGCGAAATCGAGGGGCTGCCGGAACTCCACTTCTTCACGGGTGAAAGGGAGCCCGATCATCTCTGACAATGAAACGCCGCACTTCGTTAGCGTTTCCTTGCAGTACGCGAGAACCTCAACGTTGACTGTGCAATCCTCTTGGTGGCGCACCTCGAGCACATCGATCGGACGCATTGTGCAATCATGCGAACGTGTCAGCTCGGCTACGCTGCCCATTGCGGGGCGCAAGATGGAAAGCATGTACAACATATGATGGGTTCCGCGCATAAACTGGACGGTCTTCGTGATATTGTCGTCGCTGAAGCACATATGATACCTGTCCAGCAAATCAATGGTCTCGACGAAGGGTGTAGCATCAACGTATACAAACATATTGTTGGGGTCGCCGATGATGTAATCCCGGACTTCCGTCATGAAACGGTCCCAAATCATAGAGAAGCCGTAGAGGTAGCTCTTCGCGCCGGTCATGACTCCAAGGCATGCGCAGCCCTTGCGGGCCGCGAAATCCCTGGTCCAAGCCAGGTGCCGCCTGGTGTCAGCGAGAAGTTGCTCGGCGTCTCCGATGGGGGTGTCGTAAGGATATGTACCAGTGGGCTCGAGGCCGTCCTTCCCAACGAGCTCGTTGCCATTCCAGTAAATCATCGGAATGATGGTGGCTGCTGGGTAGTCGGTACGCACCTCGTCGATGAGGGCGGCCAACCGCTTGCACAGCTGTTGTAAGCCCTTGCCCCAAAGCATT